GTTGATACTGAGATGTCTAGTGCGGTTATGATTTGAATCGGCGAGCGGCAGCCTTTTTATAGGCTACGACACGTGATCGTCGGCGATACGCTGCCGCGCGCTATGCACAAGTTAGACTATCGTTGGGCATAAGTTGTGAACGCCGGCAACACGCTTAAAGCATTCGTTGGTATAAGTTATCTATAAGTTATCGAAACGTTCTATATAAGTTACTAATACGTTATGTATACGTCCAACTCGTTATGAATACGCTATGTATATGCCCAAAATTTAAAAAAACATCGATAGTTCAGCGTATGCCAGCGTTTTAGAGAAATTTTTTATACGTCGGCATACGCTGGCTATAAATTGTCAAGGTGTGACAGGGCCATAAGTAGTAGTACTAGTACAAGCAAAAGTAACCTGTGCCACACAGAAAGGTGTAAAAAGAAGTATGGAATCGGCTGATGGAAAATGGATAGACGCAATGGCTGTTTAACTTCAGTTTATCACCTAATAAATTCACCTAATACTATTCCAGCATTAGTTTTCAACACACTTATATGGTTAGAATTAAACTTCAAGTATATATATGATACAATAATTATATACGTGCTCGAGGTTAGACTGGATGAGGCACGTCAATAATGAGCACACTACTACATCACAAAAGCAGCAGTTTTCACTCCACTTTATATATGGCTATTCCACAAATTAATTCCTGAAATTGAGAGTAAGCACCACTTAACAGGTAACAAGTACTGCATGCCACACTTATCATTACTGAAATTGATTCAGGGCACATACTGATTCTGTGATACATAGGAATTATATTCACAAAAGCAATGCAACTATGAGCATAATAAACATCTATAAATGACCACACATAGCTATTGTCATGTTTAAGAATCATAAGAATTGACAACAATCTAGTTAGAATAAACTATGACCCCTTATAAATGCTGATGTGGGAGTCAGAATAGTAGCAGCGAGCCCAGTTCAGTTCGGTTGCATGCGAGTGCTTGAATGCAGCCTAATTAGTGATACAGTTACACAATCTATTATCCGAAATTATGAAAACCGAAATTTTTTTGTGGAGGTCGTCTGCACACCAAAGCTCGCGTTTTGCGCCAAAACTCGACCCGGCGCCACCCACGCTCAAAAGTAGGCTAGTAATTTTATGGTCTGTCTTTATCCCACTTAATTTCCCACTTTATTACTATACAAATAAACTGTGATATTATTTATAATCTTTATTTACCCCATTCATTGTGAATATTCACAAGGTTTCCTGCAGAAATATTAATGTGTTTGGTATTACTCATACATATTGTACTGTACCAGTACAGCACTTGACCTCTTGAAAACATAGGTTTTAGTACTGGCTAGTTACAGGATATACGGTATGTATCTGTACTGTACTACAATTCCAAAACTCCGAAAAATTCCGAATTCAAAAACGTGCCTGGTCGGTCCCTAGGGTTTCGGATAACAGATTGTGTATGACCCATTGTGTATTGTATTGTAGACATGAAGACAGTGGGACATGTCTTCTAGACTAGAGCCCATAACTCCTTGCATCTAACTGATGCTACTCTAGACTATGAAGTATCATTACCACTGTATTTCTAAAAGTATCTAAGCTGCAGTGTACATCTTTTCATTATGGGAGCATTTCCAAACTAATCTTGTCATTACATTGTTTTGAATTATTATATCAAATCTTAGCCAATGAATATCTCTGTCAGGTTAGCAGGAAATCAGTTGGAAATCTGTGAGAATCAGATCGGCACGTCTCTTAAATGTTAACTATATGTTTTACCATTTGCACAGAGAAGATACCATTTCCATATTATCAAGAGCGTATAAAGAAGGAGAGCATACAACGGTGAAATGCTAAAACCATGTTGCAGTATTAGTCGAATTAATAAACTTTCCCTGTTTTATTTTGACGATTCTTTGCAGTATTATTGATCAGCTGTCCTACCTTGTTAATATAAAACAAACCGCATGTCCCTACGCTGAGATAATGAGCGGTGAAAATCTGGTATTTTTGCCGAACCGACTTGAGATACCTGCTGACTGCGACTGTCTTTCGCTTTGAGATAACTTCGGAAAACCTCGCGTGTTTCCGTTAATGATTGACAAATGGAATGAATGATGTCTGTTATTGATTGCCATAGTGATGACCCCCACCTGTGCCCACGTCACGCTGGATGTAGTAAACTCTGTAGTCAGGGATGAGATTGGATAATTTAACTTTCAGCTGAAATTTAAATTAGCAAACAGAGGAGCGAGCAATGCGAGGACCGTAGGTCATCGCCATGCTAGGGAGGTCCGGGGGCATGCTCCCCCGAATTTTTTTTAAAAGAATGGTGCAATTTCATTTTTGGTGCATTCTAAGCTATTCTGAACACATTATAGGAGACTCTTGAATCACCTTTTCAAGTTGTCAAAAGGAACAAACGAACTATGAATAGGAAATCAAGGGGCTGAAAATAGGGCAAGTTTTTTTATTAAATGTCTAGACATAATGATATTTTTCTGTTTCCACCCGTCGCTTGCATTGTTTTACTCAGACATAAGCTGCATTGCTGCAACAAGATTTGAATGAAAAAAACACAATGCGAATGAAACAATCAGTGCATAGTCATGCACACAACATGCACGCAGCAACATGTAAACCCGGCCCCCAGGCCAGGCATGGTCGTTACGTGATCAGCTACCTCAAATGTTTGCCCCTCTACTGCAGCCTGTGAACGAGGATTTTCTTTTCTGGTACGCAAAAACAGATACACTGTATACTTCGCTGTCAGTCTACTGTCTACACTCTACAGTCTACAGTCAGGTGCTGTTGAGGGTATATAATTTAAATTGTTACATTGTTACTCCCTCCCAATTTTCTCAACGAATTTAGACGTTTCACAAAATCGACCCCTGGAACTGTCAAATCCGCGGATTTCCGCGGATCCGCGGAAGAATCTCATCCCTGTGTAGTACTGACGTAATGAGTCAGCGCTACCATGGCGCTACACAGCGACGACCGGAAGCAACACACTGGCCACAAAGTGAGAGAGAGTCGCAGCAAACAGGGATCTCGAGTCGGTTTTCGGCAAAAATACCAGATTTTCACCGCTCAATATCTCAGCGTAGGGGCATCGTAGGGACAAGCGGTATGTTCTATATTAGCAAGGTAGGACAGCTGATCAATAATACCGCATAGAATCGTCAAAATAAAACTGGCAAAGTTTCTTAATTCTACTAATACTGCAACATGGTTTCAGCATTTCACCGTTGTACGCTCTCCTTCTTTATACGCTCTTGATATTATGTTATATGGTGCAATGTGTTTTTAGCCTCAAAGCTGGTGACACACCTCTATTCAGGCTTCTCCCTACGTTGTGCAAACGGGGCGCGCCCGCCTCGTTTGGGAAAACTCCCCCCCCCCGTTTCAATCGTTGCACCACGTTTAAATTATTTCCGCCCCGTTTAAAAAAAAAATTGAGGGACCACCTCGGCAAGAATTCCCATTCGACCCACTGGCAGCAAGAACAAGTCCGCACCTGCAGCTACAGCACACATGCATCTATTGACTATATATATAACAACGTTATATATAGTTGTTATAGTAGTTATAGTTGTTATAGTAGCTATAGTTGTTATAGTAGTTATATGTAACTATATATAATGTTGTTATATATAGTCAATAGATGCGTGTGTGTTGTAGCTGCAGGTGCGGACTTGTTCTTGCTGCCAGTGATTCGACCAGGCCCCTGGACCACCCTAGTTTTTCCTATATATCTATCTGCATATATCTAACGGCTGCCAGGCACGGTCTTCGATTTCCTAAATGCCCGGCAGTTTTTAATTTTCAGCGTTATCTCAAGTAAACAAGGGATAGGGTTAGGGTTAGGGTTAGGAACTGCCGGGCATTTAGGAAATCGAAGACCGTGCCCGGCTGCCGGGCATATAGCCACAGCGTATTATACTATATTATAACGCTCGATAGTACTCACAGTAATGGAGGAAACATATCAATAAAGTGTATCGAGACAAGTGTATCAAGATACAAGTCAATACTGAAGAGTGGGGTCAAAGTGAGTTTACAAATACAATTACAAGTTTGTTTTTGTGCTTCACACAGTTCTGTCAAATGTCAGTGCCCTTAAAGTTAAAGAAAGGCCTTATCACAAAACTATACAAACCTATATACCTATCGAAAGACTACGGGTTGGACACCCACATAGTAATAATAATTAAGTTTTTTTTGAAGTTTTATAGTAAATACTAGATAAGCATTTACCTTGGCGCTTTGGAAATAGCAAGTGGGAGGGAAAAGGATCCGTTTTATATTTTACACAATATACCTTACGGCTTACCTACGCTCAAGGGGTCGTTGTCGTAACAGGTACTACAGATATGTACCCGAGGTACATATATGTATAGGGGGCCTACACAAAGTGTACCAGACTTGTACTACAGAAGTGTACCCTAACCCTAACACTAACCCTAACCCTAACTCTAACCCTAACCCTAACCCTAAACATACCGGCCCATTCCTATTTGACAACCCCATGTTTAAAAACCCTAACCCTAACCCTAACCCTAACCCTAACCAAACTCAAGACATGGGTGTGTATACGCTACTTGTACCAACATACCTCATATAAAAATATAAACATAATACTAAACAACCTAAAACTACCTCGGGTACATATCTGTAGTACCTGTTACTGTTAGTGTTAGTGTTAAGACAACGACCCTTCGTGCCTTACCTAGTACTACTACTAGTACTACTACTACTACTACTACTACTATAAACCGACCAGGCTCTCCGACTAGTTACACGGCGCCTCTCGCCACGTAGTGTTAAGCGAGATGGGAACTTGTGGCTACTAGTACTAGTACTAGTACTACTACTAGTACTACTAGTAGGCTACTAATACTATTACTAATACTTAGCTGACTACAACTCACGCATAACAAATAAGTTTGACATACGAAGCAAGCACTACACCTACCCAAAAATGGTCGGCGAATTCCTTCATTTTTGCTGTTAGTTGATCTGATAGACCTCACAGATATTGTATAAGTCTAGAAGTTGTTGATTCAGTCATTCTGTTCATGCGTTTTCTCGCGTTTTCTCGCTTAATACCGCGCCACGAACGGCGAAACATTAGCTTTCATTTGTTGCTGCAGTCACCGCTAGGCGGCGGCACCGGCGAGGCTATTTTTATCGTATGCTCGTCTTGAAAAAATGTGTGTAATCGATAGATCTCTGACGGCACCGGCGTAAGTACTGTTAACTGCGATTGCAAAGATAAGCGCCGTTATACTAATAAGGAGCTAGATATACATTTAGTTGTATACCTAGCAGTAGCACATTCAGTCATTGCCAGAGCGCCTTCGTGGCCCAGTGGCAGTGGGCCACTGAAGGCTGTGAGTTCAAAGTCGAACCCCGGCCGGGCGTGAATTTTTTTGTCCTACACGTTATATTCATTGGGCTCTTCTGATTGGCTGCTTTGATTTGACCACACCATAGATAGTGTTTGGGATACCACAGATAGTATATAAGCCGATTCGGTTTATAGTTAGTGTTAGTGTTAGCGTTAAGGCCTCCACACACGCGGCGCGGCGCGGAACGCCACGGAAACGGCGTCATTCATCACTAACGGCAAAGTTCAAATCTATTATATCTTATGGCTCAGTCGCCACTGACACGGCACGGCGCCAGCCGGGTTTCACAGCGATGGCGAAAGACTTTTGCCGGCTGACGTGACGGTGAAAAGACAATACACCTGTTGATAGTTTAACACTGCGCATGCGCTAAGCCTAAAGTCAAAGGTCGGGAGGAATTTTCCGTCCCAGAATTGCGAGTAAAATGCGCGAACAATGGCGTTAACGTGTAGTGTAAAGGGCTGCTCAAACGGATCGTATTGGCTCGGAAAGACTTTTAGAGCATGCATTGACCATAATTTAAATGTATCAAGTGTCATGTCACTCAGGTCATCCATTATCGGTGCTCTATTCCCTGCTACGTTTACTGTTCTTCGACACAAAGGTGAGCGACCTGCGTATGCAAGGCAGATAACGCATCGAGATAAACAACATGGCAGAGTTTACTCGCACATCCGGGGTCTCGCGGAGATGCGAAACTACTGGCGCAGAACACAGGCGCGGAACTGTCAATCGGTGTATCGAACCAATCAACGCGATTGTTTTTATCACATGTTCTGCTCACGCTACCATCAGCCAATGGACAACAACTTGAACAAGCACATGCATAATTTCTGATCACTGAACCAGAGTGAACACAATGCGCTCGGACACAATGCGCGAAATCACAATGTATTTTTTTTCAGCACAACGCTGCTGCGTTTTGCTGTGTCGTGTCGTGCCGCGTGTGTGGAGACGGGGGGCCTTTAGGGTTCGGGTTGGGGTTAGGATTAACTTAGGGTTAGGCTTAGGATATTTGCATCATTCCTTGATATACGGGAAGTCTGATGTGGAAGTAGATATGCGTATATCAAGCCCAATGGATATAACGTGTAGGAAAAAATAATTTGCGGCCGGGGCAGTGAATTTTCTCAAGGTGTAAAAACCTGTTACCTGGGGCTCGTTGTCAGAAACAAAATTAGTCTTAACATTACTCATTAGTCATAACATTAACTTCCACTTGTAAACCGTTGACAGAAACATCGCAAAGTTACGAGAATGAAAAATCCTTGAAAATATCCTCTTGCTTCTTGTCTTGGGCAGTGCAGCAAGAACAAGCCCGCACGTACAGCACACACGCGGCCATTGACTATAATAACAACATGGTGCCCAACTCGCCGCCGCAGTCAATGGCCGCGTGTGTGCTGTACGTGTGGGTTGCTCTTGCTGCCAGTGGTCTTGGGGCCCGTTGTCAGAAACAAAATTAGTTACCAGTCTTAACATTAACTTCCACTCGTAACTGTTGACAGAAACATCGCAACGTTACGAGAATGAAAAATCCTCGAAAATATCCTCTTAAATTGATTACATCACGAATTATCTATGGTGTATATTTGTAAAGTTGCCATTTTTTACATTAAAAGTAAGTACTAACGGCATAAACGTATCGTCAAATTCTTACCTGATAAGATTGTTTCTCAACTAGTTAAAAATCCAAAAAACCAGGACGATTTGATATATATATGTTTACTAAATATCATGAATATAAGTTTAAAAAAAAGAAATTAGAGCTTTTGAAGTCAGTCAGTGTCGTTCCAAATATAAGACTAGTATTAGTAGTAACGCGAATAAGTACAGAATTGCTTGTATCCTTTGCTAGTTTGATATATCTGAGGATCTTGTCTCACCTGATGCGCATGAGTTATATGTGTGAAATCCCACTATCCCCAGTAATTTGGTTGGAGAAATTCGCTAATGCCGTTCGTATATATATATATCTGCATGCTTAGATACAGTCTTCTTGAACATCAATGATTGTTACTGACCTGAATTTTCTCGCATTCCATACAAGTTCCTTGAGCACGTGCCTGGCAGCTCGATGAATACACTAAACACCAGGGATGAGATTTTTCCGCGGATCCGCGGAAATCCGCGGATTTGACAGTCCAAGTGGTCGATTTTGTGAAACGTCTAAATACGTTGAGAAAATTTGGGGGGGTAACAATGTAAAAATTTAAATTATATATACCCTCAACAGCACCTGACTGTAGACTGTAGAGTGTAGAGTGTAGACAGTAGACTGACAGCGAAGTATACAGTGTATCTGTTTTTGTATACCAGAAAAGAAAATCCTCGTTCACAGGCTGCAGTAGAGGGGCAGACATTTGAGGTAGCTGGTCATGTAACGACCATGCCTGGCCGCGAAATTTTTTTTCCCAAACGGTATAACATAGGAAGGATTTAGGCGCCTTCTGATTGGCTGGAATTTGGCAAGATGTCAGCCTCCATGACTTGTAGCCAAAATCCCCAATTATCTACCAAAAACTTTCTCGAACTTTCTGTAAGTTAGTTTAGGTTAAAGTAGTTTTTAGTATGTTTTCTT